GTTTTAAGGACCTGCGTTGTAAAGCACGGCATTAAGAAATACTGACGATGGTTTCTCCTATCTTTACCGTTTTTAATTATGGGTGGTCGATTTCAAGTACATGGCTTTTCGGTCCTTCCCGCACGATGAGCACTAAATGATGTCAAAATTAGCAAGCATCCTGAAAATTTGACGGCCGTTTATCCGATCTGTGTCTTGCGTATTTTAGACATACATTGTAAGTTGTTAGGTTTATATTTCATTAATATATTTTACTTAGATACAAATAGCGTCAACCTTTAACCTTCTGTAAAAATCTCCCACATGTCACGACCCAAATACACATAAACATGCTTTTTCCTTAATTATGAAGTCCAACAGCAAGCGCACATCTCTATCCCTCTTCTTGAAGAACGTGAGGATTATTGTAACATTGCTTGGGCCACAAATTAACACAGGCAAAGCGTTCAGTTTACTGTGTGAAAGAGAGTAGTTTGGTTCAAGGAAAAAGAAAGTTTCCTATTTTGAGCATACTGTTGTAACCCTACTAGCCCCTTTGTCACGTTGCGAAACTCCCAGTCTAACCCCCTTGATTATCCTGTCAGAATGAGGTCCAGGCATCACTATTATGCCTGGCTTCCTCGACTCTTCCAAATGTCTCATGTCTGCTACGGTCTGCGAACAGTTTGAAAGTAGTCATACAGGGGATCTACCCTACTGAATGCACAACGTCGTGGTGACCAGTTCTAATGGAGAAGTACACATAACTTTTGAAGTTCAGCCCCGTAATACGTCCCACCAAGTGCGTGATCGGTCCATCTGCCATTATATGCATAGACCATCCAGTCGACAACGTCATCCTTCAGTCATTTCGCTCAAACTCTGCTGTGAACCAATCGTTTCCTAGACCAACCTCTGACAGCCAGTTAAAGCACTTAATGACTCTGGATAATAAAAGTCGAGCATGGGAACACTCTGTTTCTTGTTCTGAGCTTTCAGACTCGTACAGGAATCCATCGCCAGAGGTAGTAGCAGCGACAGAACAAGCAAAAATTTTTAGGCATGTAGGCCAGTCATCAACCGATGGCACAAGACTGGAGCTGATTACGCAGGACTCTGTACGCCGTCGCTAGATCGATAAACCGATTGACCGAGTTCTCATCTGAGGCCAAGGCTTCAATCAATTCTCGGCCTGTTTTGTTTCCGGCGTGGGCAACTATTTTGGTGGCTGCGAAGTTAAACTCGTGACCCATTTCGTAGGTGTGGGCGGCCACTTGCGATAATGCGTCGCCTCGTCGCACAGCCAGCTTATGTTCGTGTATGCGCGATCCGAGCGTGCACCCAGTCCGTCCTGTGTAGTTAGACGGACAATTTTGACACGGAATGCGATACATTCCTCCAGATTGCTCATCAGGCATTAACTGATCTTTGATTTTCATGACCATATTGCGCATGGTGGCTTTGGGACGGTGGGTAATTCCAACACCGAGCTCCGCAGCAATGTGCTCGGCCGCTTCTGAAATGCGCTTGATGTATGGCAGAGAATGCCATATCGTCGGTGGCGTTGATGTTCGACTTCTCGGGTGACGACCACTTAGGCAGCGACTTATAAATGCCCTCGGATTGCCATTTTGCACAAACTGCTCGCGGAGATAACGGGCCTTACGTGCTCTGTCCTCCGGTTTGCTGCAATGAGTTTGGCTCCGTTTGAAGAGCTCGGGACAATAAACAAATTGTTCCGATACTCGACTCTTCTTCTACACATTTGTATACATCTGGAAATCAAAACTTCGCCTTCACTCTAGTTTATCTCTCTCGCCGCTTTCTTCCGCAATGCAGAGGTAGATGTTTCCCGAGCGCAGACCTTCCTTGCGATTTGGGTAGCTCCGTAAACACTCATTCGATATTGTCGCTGCTTAGACAGGCTGACGTCGATTCTGACTCGCTGACCTTATCCGCCCTGCTGTCAACGTACTGCTGCCCTCGAAGCGGCAGTGCCGCAATATCTCGCAGATCCCCCTAAATCCTCAAGTCTTTCTCCAGACAGTTCTCATCTGTTAAGATTTTATAAAGCGTTTTAGGATGCGGATTTCTGGAATTTTAGCTTACCGTCCAATACTTATAGTGCTTTCTTAAGAGCAGGGACATCATAATCTTCACTGTGCTTTCCCCTTCAGTTCTGTACCAACAGGAATAATGGGAAATCCATTTTCCGTGCCACAGCACCTAAGACATCCACAATGTCGACAGAATGAAGTAGCCTGACGTTGTCCAAGCTCATCATATGTATACTGCAATGTTTCCCAGGATCAACCTCAAAGTAGTGGCTGTCGACAGAAGCCGTGTCAGATTTCCCGGGGACGAAATAGCTCCACTCCATGACCCCACGGTTGCCGTCTCACCATTGGCGATACCATAATTCTCTCTGACATTTTCACTATCCACTCTTTTATGTTGATAGCCCCTCGTTATTTATACGAATTGTGCTACACAGAAAGTGTAACGGCAGACAATTTATTTATAAACGGGTTTGCATTCACCAAGACGCCAGAATTTACGCTTGAATCTCTGATTTGATCAACAATCTAAGCAAAATTACGCATTCCTATGAGGACAATGTCTAGACAAGCAAGCTGTATGACAATGGTACAGTCTGATGACGATGCTTTCGGGGAGGAAATAGAGATTTTTATGGTTAAGGATGTTTACGTTGTCCGCATCTTTGCTTTGATCCGCCTTCGAGACCATCCTGCATTTTAAGCTTCCGGTCACTTTTCCGTTTTCTTTCTCTCGATTTTAGACTTTTCAAGTGTCGCGAGATTTCCGGCGGTTTTGAGCCCGACTGGAAGAAGCACGTGTAATCCAGACCAACCTGTTCTTCCGGGCAGGATAAAGATCGATGTGGAACATCCGGATGCCTGTTTTCCTCCTCCATCTTATTCGCGGAGCGTCCATCCACCGACAGAGGCATATTCCGCAGCAGATCCAAAATATACTGGTGCCTTCAATTAGAAAAACTGTATGTAAACGTAACCAGTAAACAAACCTGCCGAGGTCGAGGGAGAGAAAATACCGGTTCAGAAAAGGCAATACGGTCTGCTTCTCATGGCCCAATGTGTGAGCATCAGATCAGTACGAAACTATGAAATTCCGAGAAACTTAGCTACATCCTAGGGTGACAGCCTACCATATGTCCGACTAACTAGGTTTGTCTGTGCTGTGCACAGCTATTACTCCCTCAGTTTACATAAAAATGTCTCCGCGACGATTGAGACTTCCAACATACAGTTCAGCTTGTGGGTAAGCTCGATTGAAATTGGTGCGTAAACAGAGCCCATAGAGATGTTTGTGGAGTGACTCTCGGACACATTCTTGATGTACGGTAGGGAGTGCCTAATTGTTGGTGTCCGAGGCTACAGAACTCATTGCGTCAGAGCTAGGCGTGGGCATCGCCCATTATCCGGCGACTACCATGCGTAGCAGGATCATGAAAATGAGAGATCGGCTGGACGCGGGTGAACAGTTGGGCGTAGTCTATCAAATCCTCTGCCATAACTGGACTTGCCACTACACAGGCCAAACAGGACGACGTCTCAGCTCACGGATACTTGAGCACAAACGGGCCGTTCGAAGAGGCGACTCCAGTTCGAGTCCGAAAGCTAAGGCCAATAAATCTACTGTCCCAGTGATTGTGTCTTCGTCTTCTTTTAAAGAAGTCATTCCATGCGTGTTTAGTGCCTATATTTAGTGAATTCTGTGCAAATGCCATGCGTCCAACAGGATTTGGATGTTTGTCCTTTTCACTACCCGAATATCGAACGGTTAGCTGGACCAAACAATTCCGACCGATCACTAAAAACTTCGTTCTTCTGGAAGATAGAAAGGCGAAATCGTATATGCCCACAATCCTCTGGAATGGCAGTCGCAGTTATCCCAACTCCTGGATACACCGATCGTTGTTTACAGGGTTTAGGGGTTCCTTATCCTACGGTCAGGAATAACCCGGTCGGTAAGGAACATGTGACGTTGGTCACTGGGATTGGCTATACATAGAAATCAACTGGAAGTTCGTCCGTTACAGCATTTTGGCATTCTCTACCTCAGGAATTAGCGTGTTTAGTCAGTGTACCAGTAAGAATGAAAATGTTGGTGTCGCAGAGCCGATTTACGTATAATGGCCTTCTTCATTCCGACGATTCAGACTTTCCGTACATTTGGTATTGTTATTCGGGGACCAATGCTTCATCGACTGGACGCAGATATCACTCTACGCTATGAACTGGGATAAGTATCATTTCCAGTCGGTCTGAAACAGCAAGCCACTGCTGCACGACGAATAGAAGTAAGTGAGGTCGATCCAGCTCAGATCCAACTCTCAGTTTCTCAGAAGGAACAGGCAAACAGGCTAAAAGCTTTCGCTTGGATGAATGTTCACCGGAGGGACGCCCTTGTTCTATTTAGGACTGAGAGCCGGAGTACAATGTCGCCCTCTCTCATTGTGACCTTTATGAAACTAGTGTATACGACATCCGAGACTCCACAGTGAAGTACCGCGTGCGTAAGTGGCCAGGGAACATTTGTTACGTTGCACGCACACGCAGACTGTTTCTGACTGTTAGGCACTGTGTCGGAGTCCTCTTTGTGTCTTCGGGAGCTTGTCTACTTACTAGAATGTGAAAGGCTTGCGCGGTAGATTTATCGTAGATCGGCATTGCAACAAACGAAATCACGTCCAAGTAGGCGCTGCGCGCTTCCATTGGGGCAGTGATGGAACTCGTCCATTTCATTGTTCCGGAACATAATTTACCCGTTGGCGTTTTTTTCATATGGGTTTCCAGCCAGCCATTTCGAATTGTACAGCATTAGTTTTGGGTTGTATATGTTTGGAAGTGTGCTAATAATGCCCATCCCCAACTTCTTTTTCCCCAAGGTCCGTGCTTCCTTCAGTAATTTGCTAATGCTCTTTTAACAACAATTCGGTGGGAAAGTTGAATAGAAAACAATATCAAGTATAACAATACCTACCCATCACTTTCAAGGGGCCTTTTTATTGGTTTCTTGAAACCCCTTTTTCCCACTAGCCAATATGTGTCCACGTCGCCTCGACCCTTCAGAGTCATCTTGCCACGGTATTCTAGTTTGTATCCTTTGAGCTCGTCCAGTATTGTCTTTGTTGAAGGGCTGACATGTATTCTCAGTGCTTTGAATGGCATATAAAAAGATGGCTCATGTAAAATGACCTGAATGCTCCAAATTCTGAAGGCTAAGTGTCCTGTTAACAAAACTAATCATGTTGCGATAATCTCGATGATGAAAATCGTTGACAGCGGCGTGGGTCTCTCTGAATAAGACAATGCCTGTCTTTCTGTGAGAGAACAGATTTAAACTCGTTTTTAACTTCCAATTATGCGTACATGGGAATAATATTCTGGCGTACCTTATGCTTTCGAGTAGAAAATACCAAGATGACGTGATTCTCTATCAAACGACTTAAATAATGCATATTCTTGTTTGCAGTTTCTATAAATTATTTTTGAATCTGCAAGACCACAGAAAATCAGTTCGAAAAATGCATGCTACTTAAGTCGTCTTTTTTACGAGTACAGTTTCCACAAGAGATCGAAAAGCAATGCATTCAAAGGTTGGCGTCCTGCCGAGTGCAAAGGATTATAGCATTATGCCGTAAGATATGCAGTATTATAATCGCGTCTAAGTAATCCTTCCTAATCGAAAGCGCATTTCAGAATTTTAGCCACTCACCGTACTTTCACAGGCTTTCTACGTCGTTTGCAAAAACACATCAGTAGCTCAGGAGTTTCTCACAGCAGTGAGGTGTACTGCAATGTTATTTTTTTAATCGCTTCATGTATTTTCTGAGAAGCGTGTAAACATTTCTGGACTTTCTCATAGTACTGAGGGTTTAAAAGATCATGGTTGTAATGTTGCCAATGAATTTGGAGCAACGAAAATGAAGCCAAAACTAAAACACACACCGTGGGCGTAGAGTTAAATAATGTTGAGTGAAGGATGGCAATTGCAGTCGGCGCGCTAACTCATGAAACGCTAAGCAAAATTCTTAAATTCCTTTCCTACTCAAAAAGATTGCTTAAGTAGGGTTGTAGTATTAATCACCGTGCAGCACAATCGTAAGATATTTCAGGTATTTCCGGATGCCGGCTTCCGAGCAAACTTCCTTGGGGCCGCCTACAAAAACCACACTCTTATAAATGACCACTTAATTAGAATGATTTTTTTAAATCGACTTCCGATGCCCTTATTAATTTAAATATACTTCGAAGAAAATGGGCATAAAATATTTGTTCCTCTATCTGTGCTGTAGAAAATTATGTTATCTTCCAATTTTATTCTTGAAAGAAGGGTATAATTCGACTTTACAGGACTTTTCTGATTCCTGGGAGATTCTGAACCCGGCCTGTAGTTACACTTCAATTCAGGTTTTCAAAACTACAAGCTGTCAATTCTAAGTTTATGACAAATCATATATTTCTATACGTTACTCAAAGAATACTATATAGGATTCAATTTAAGTGGACATTTTTTTCAGAGTATGGTTTTTTAGGCGACCGGAAATAAATTCGTTCGGGAGCTGGCATCCAGAAGTACCTGAAGTATCTTAGAATTGTACTGAACGGTGATTAATACTATAATCCTACTTAAGTTAGCTTTTTGTGTCGGAAACGCATTGCAAAACTTTAGTTAACATTTTATGCGTTAGCAAATTTACTGTAATTTATATAAATAAAAATGTATAGTTTTGACCACGATATAATTAAACACTTTAATATAGACTTTGCGTATAAAGATCCGTTACTGATCTTGCTTTTACGAAAACGGTGAAGTCATTTTCTGGCAATCGACTACTCTACACGATGAAGCAGAATTCCATAAAGCATAATTTTCTGAATATTGTGAGTCGTTAAATACTTCAAAACTGACCGATGATTTCAACCGCAGTTATAATATGGAATTCAGTAATTACGCTTAAACGAGATTCTATACTCAAGTACTTTGCACAAATCTTTCTGCTTCAAGGCCCATGCAAGCAGCCAGTCAATTGGATCTGAGTGAAAAATCGTTTTCTTCGTTGGTCGTTACATCATTTTTAATGGATAAACCTGCATGATAGGAGTTATCGTTAATTTAACATTCCAAAGAAATGAAAAAATGGGGTTCATTTTTTGCATGGCACAAGATAGGAACGATTTGAGCTCTAATTGAAGCATGTAGACGGTGCCAAATTTCTTCCTAGGTGTCCGTAGTTTGTCAGTCGTATTTCTGAGTGACATCAAAAACGGAATTGCGAGTTTATATATCACAATTTCTAAAACCCAGATGCCACCTATAAAGCATTTACAGATGGGTAAGTTAGCAATATAAAATTAAAACGCCCATTTGCCTTAGGATAGTATTTTTACTCCGTGTACATAGCGACGACATACGAAAAGTAGCCATAGAAAGGTGCACTTCCAACTTCCATCTGACATTTTTTTAAAAAGTCTTTTGCGAAGATGCTCACCTTCCCCAGACGACTCAATCCGGGATGCAGTATTAATTGTGTCACCGAACAGACAATACCTCGGCATGGTCAGGCCGATCACTCCAGCAACACAGGCGCCTACGGAGAATAGGACGAAAATAATAACCATATTTTCAAATGTAAAACGAAGTTCTGCTTCTGCACAACATAAATGAACTGTTGAAAGTGGTTTACCTTGTCCGTAGATTAGTTCAGAGCCTTTTGAGCTTCCACGATAGGATTAAACAACCATAGGAAGATGCCAAAGACTGGCTTAAAATGCTTATGCACATAAAAAGCAAAGTTAGATCGTCCTAGCGAAAAAAAGACTCAGTTCGGGCTGTCGCATATAGAGTTAAAGAGGGAAAAGGGTTTTTCAGGAGAGTTTAAACACTTTAATGACGTCCAGTACCTTGGAGAAAAATCACATTTTTGCATCCCTCTGTTCAACCGTCCTAAACTAGGGACTCAGGTTTCAGATAGGATTTTGCGGGAGCCTGAAGACCTGGTGTTGTTCGTCGGCTTCTGTGTTCAATAGAATACTGGCGAAATAGTCTAGGTTAGGGTCTGACCTAATTTGGGTATGCAAGCTAAATTTTTGTTTCTTTTCAGTTGAATCGGTTTAGGTGTTAAAGCCTTTTGCATGTCCCTTAACAGATATCTTTTTTAGAATTTATTGAGTACAGCTTTACAAGTTGAAGTTTGTGCGGGAGACCAAACGCTTGATTATGGCGTGCTTTTGATTAAACGAATTAAACCGAATGGCGACTATGGCAGAAAAGGAAGTTACGGAGTCAGCATAATACATCATAATTCTCAACGGATTCATCGTTCGCGTGAGATATATAGTGCTTATTAAGACATTGTGCTATTAGATTGGCGTATCAGAAATACGACTTCCTGCTTATTCTTACAGCTTGTCTTGTAAAACCGATCGATGAATGTGAAGGGAGTCATGGTTATACTTCTGAAATACACAAAATAATTCGGCTTCTGAAAATCAGCATGCGCAGGGCGTGCAAAAACAAAAGGCGATTGATTAACACACCGTTCAGTGTCCAGGACCTTCACACCAAAGCGTTGCAACAAATGACATCTGAATACTAACAATTTCTAAAATTGTTTTGGGTACATCTAGGCCTATGTCTACCTGTGGTTCGATTTTGTGGTTTCGCAAAGTATACTAGGGCACCAAGCGCAGTGCCAGTTACCAGAGTGTATTCCAATGCGGAGCAAAATGGGAATCTGTGGCATGTGTGGAATGACAAATGATCCAACCACACTTAGTAGTTCCAGAGCCACTGTGGCGATTTCACCAGCGTGCCGCCTGCCGTTTCTGATAGGTAACCCCGAGGCCACCATGTACGCATCACCTATGGTTTCAACCTGAAATGAAAAAACAGTGCTGAAACAGCAAGTCCCAGACGAGAAAGACAAGGTCATATTATGGAACCATCTCTTAAAAATACTTTCTATTAGCCAGTCTATTTTCTCCCTTTCTATATATTTTATAAGGACTTCTGCAGTGATCCACTACCCTCAGTGTAGGATCTTTTGAAAGGGCTTTTGGAATTCTCGGAGTGCAACAATCAGCAAACATATTCCTAATTTCAGCCAATATTCCCATGTTACAATTGAAAAGTCACTTTGGCAAACGTGTTTTCGGTAACTCTTCATCAGGCCAAAACGGTTACGTAGAAGTTTAAATTATGTAAAGTTACAGAGCTTATAAGTGATTCAGGAACTATTAACACCCATCATCCCCACGCACTCGCATGACGGGGCGTGCTATGGCTTGGTCAGTCATTGGGTCAAGGGGGCGAGGTAGAGGGGGGACATAGGCTGTGAGTAATGTTTGTACGTCGGGTGCGTTGTGCACGCACCACTGCCATCAAGAGGTTGGGTCGGCGTTGGCCACGGAAGACAGAGTGCCTGTGTCAGAGTCTTCTGACAGCATAGCACTGGATTGGCTAGCCGTATAGTCACTGCTTAGACTGTAGCTAGCACCCGTTGGCGTAGGCCCCTGGGGAAGCATGCTGGTGTCCGGTAGACAACCTGAAGGTCTTCTTTGGCATCGACTCGGTGATTCGTATGGACAAGATGTGCCAGGATAGAACTCGAGATCGATTTCTTTTCACCTCTGCCTAGCCAGGCCGGTAAGTGTTCACGTGCTCTCTTTTCCAGGCGCCTCGTTGCACGGCCAATGTATCCCGCTCCACAGGAGAAAGTGAATGAGTAAATACACATCGATGTGGCCTGCGACGGGAGTCGGTCTTTACCTCCCAAGCGTAGGAGGGGAGAGTTTGTGAAACATACACGTAAGTTCGCCGCGGGGAAAGCGCTAGTGGTCGCTGTCTTCAGACGTCTTCTTACTAGGTCACTTGCTGCGTCCCCTTGAAAAGGCAGTCTTATAAATAAGTCCTTCTTTTCTGCAGTTGCCATGGTGGGCTTTGCAGTGCGCTCCCCTATATTTCGGAGGATAAATCTTTCTGGGTATCCGTTTTCGTGGAATATATCCCGCAACCGCTGAAGTTCTGCCTCAACAGTCTCAGGAGAGCAGATATGTCGTACTCTAGCTGTCAATCCATGGACTAAATTGCGTTTAATATTTAGGGGAACAACACTGTGAAAATTAATGTATTGTCCGGTCCAGGTTTTCTTTCGGAATACCCTACGTTGGATAGACCCATTCTCTTGTCGGTGCAGAAGAATATCGAGGAACGCGATTTCATTATTTGCCTCAAACTCTGCAGAGAACGTTGGCGAGGGGTGTGCATTGTTGAATTTTTGAACCAGGACGTCTGTGTCGGTGGTAACATCTAATTGCAAGAAGGAAGGGAACTAATACAGACGTCTGATCTCTATGCCGGTACCTTGTAGACGTCGAATTTCGCAATTGTTGAGTCGAAGGTGGAATAGAGCGCATTGAGTAGATCAACGATTTGCAGAGGTGTAGACCAGGCTGAAATTGCTGTGAAGCCAACGATGTCACTGAAGTAGATGGTGACCTCGTCGAAGGCTTCTGGGGCCACGGTGTTGCCAGCTATCAGCGCCTGTGCAACAGATCTGTGGCAATGCAAATAAGGTCTATTTTAAATATTTGCAAAAGGAAAAACTAGCATAGTGAGACGCAAAACGGCCAGCAAATAATTTTCGACAATTGGAGTGGCCACCGAATGACGATAATAGAGTGAACTTGACATCATCCACAAATTACAGCACATTTTGCGGCATGCCCTATCAATTCCACCTCGATTTATGTGAGTTTGCAAAAGGAAAAAATGGGGATAATGAGAACCCATTCGCCGTCAGCTAATCGTCGGCCATAAAATGAAAGTAATACGGTGACCTTGATTACACTCACATATTAGGATACACTTATCTGCCTTGCTATCGATGCTATTGTGTCAACGGTGAATTTAGTAGTGTCTGATGTTTAGTATTATGTTTAGTTTTGTGTGACAAATTGTGATCCTGTACTGCTTTATCATTTGGCAAGCAGTAGGTCTTTCAAAATTAACATACTCCGACGACTTCTCTTAAATTTCAACGAATGGCCACTGAGAAATGTGAGTTTGTTTGGTATTTTGTAAAGTGATAGACACTCTTGGGGATTTTTCGACGCCTGCAAGGTAGGGTAGGAGCCGTACAATAACTGATAGTGCCTTACTTAAATTACTATCTCTGTAACAATTTTCTGTTGGTTTATCGGCCGAAACAGTTTATAGTTAGTTTCACAATTGCTTAATTCAGCTTGATTTATCATACTGAAAACCACAGATATCAGGTTAACCCCCAGACAACTGTTTCGCCAATATTCTGCCGCTGCATGACACAGCTGCGAGGGGTGCGTCGGAACACGTTTGCAAACTAGTGGATGACTGCTAGTAGCTTATAAATATTACGCGGTTATCCCCGTGTAGCTGATTGTTTTCGGCTCAAACAGTCACAGCAACTTTCAAAATGAGCCTATAGGGCTTTAATCCGACTGATTTACTCCAAGTTAACTGTTGCTTTCTGAGGAGGTTGAAAAGCTGAATGTTTATTAATCCAGTCCAACCTACAGAGGTGGAACAAAAAAAACAATACATCTGTCATAGATCCTGGATTCTGTACCGGGTGATAGGTAAACTATTGGGAACATCCCTAGTGTGCGTTCTCAGTCACTGTAATAGTAAAAACTTTGTTTTTTCATAGCCATCATCATCTTATTATATGCAACTTTTGATTCCGTTTTATCTTAGGGACTTTTTCATCAACCTGCAGTAGGTGAGAGGTAATGATTCACTCAGGTAGGCATAAGGCAAAACATTGTCGTTATGCGATCAAAAACTAGCCCATGGTGCCATAAAATTGCTTTGTAGTAAACTCACAGTGGCAGCATTCTTGCGATCAGTTCTTCTGTTTTTACTTTCTCTTCCTCGAGTTCCAACGTCCGCTCTCGCACTTGGGATTCCAAATCTGCTGAGTATTTTTCCATCATATTCAGCATATGGTCAATAATGTTGGCCTTTCTACAGAGAAGATGAAATATTAACGCAAACCTACTTATTGCGCTAGAAAGAAGCTGGCCGGATGCTAGTTAGTAGACCTGCCTACTGATTCTACAATTACACCTACTGGCTCGATTTCAGTAGCAGCGATTGCGTTATCATTATGTCTGGGAGTGCACGCACAGAAGCCCTGTCGGGGTGACTTTCTTGTTCACTTTAACCGTCCTGAGAACTAGGGGCTGCAAGAATGCCTAAATAGATTCATTTCATTGCACCTCCCACTCGTAAATCTTTAGTAGATGGCGAAAGATTAATCCCAAGCGAATTATGGTTCATCATGCTTCTCATTACCATCCTAGGAGGAATGGCGCGGGTCTCCCTTTTGTCGGTTTGTCTGCGTCCTTGAGTCTTTTTACTCCAGACCTCCTGCAGAGTCCGGTATAATCGTGTACGAAAGGATAACCGACGCGCAGATAGGGTGTCTACCGCTACTCCACCTACTGTATCAGTCGTATTGACAGAGTGTTGCCCTCCACCCCCTCCCCCGCCATTACCAACAGCCGGATTGTATTTCGTCTCAGGGGTTTGGGTGAAAACTGGGACGCCTCGTTAACTCCGCCATGGCCAGTTAGCGATCCTTTCCTGCACTTCCAGTTCAAGGCACTAGGACCCCCCTTCCCACGCTTCGACACTGTTGGGTTTGAACTGGGCGCACTTCCCCTACCACATCACGCACTTGCGTTCAGACTACAACAGCAACTACAACTACAACGCCAGTCTGACCCGGAGTGTTTACTTTCCGCCCTTGCGATCAGCGCCGGCTGCAGTTTAGTGGGCCAGCGATCATTTGCGGGGGTAGCTTGAGGTTTCTCCTATCGAGTCCTGCCTATGATTCTACAATTGTACCTACTGGCTCGATTTCAGTAGCTGTGATTGCGTTCTCATTATGTCTGGGAGTGCACGCGCAGAAGCCCTGTCAGGGTGACTTTCTTGTTCACTTTAACCGCCCCGAGAACGAGGCGCTGCAAAAATGCCTATATAGATTCATTGCATTGCACCCCCCACACGTAAATATGGGATAAGGATGCATTTGTTCCGCATACCGTTCTCATTAGCCATGCTCATTTCCATACACTTCTTGCATTTTTCCCCAAATGTAAATTAGGCTTTCACTTTGGCAGGGGCGTCAATTCCAGGCATGCACTACAAGCGCCATTTACGCGTCCGCTCATTTGCCCCACCCGTATAGCCCTTATTACCACCGGTCCCGTAAGACAGGTAGCTGGGAGTTTTCCGCACGGGAAGGGCTACCACCACCCGTCCCACCCAACGTTTTATGTTACAAAGCATGCTACTCCCTATATTTTAGTAACATTACGTTTTACAATTTTCGCTATCTCCTGACCGCCACATATGCGCTTGCTTCGATATTACTTGGTCCATTCAGTACTGTACTGGATATTGTACAATTTTGACATAGAAGGCATTCACAGACAAATTCATACCAGTGACCAATGCTTGTTGTATGTAGTTACTTACCTAATTTTTTTCACACTTGCCATACACATTGTTTTTTATGAAGTTATTGTAAACAAAACGGAGTTCAAAGGCGCTCGCCTACCTTTCCCTTAATAAATCTGATCTGATCTGATCAAACCAGGAAGCTCCGTGTTGCATGGATGAGTCTTGTTGCTGCGTGCAAACAAGCGATGGGCAATTACTTCTCGGCGTTATGAAAGTTCAGCTTGATTGGAAGAGTAACAGGTTGTGTAGATTCATTGTACATATTCAACAGTTTTGCACGTTTTATTTTTTCTACGAACTGATTAAGAACGCCACATTTGGCAAATGAAGGCGTCAATTGGTCCACTTATCAAATGCACATTACACGGACAGTCCAGAAAGTTAAGTTACTCAAAGGTTGGCATTGCGTATAAATGCAGTCTCCCATACTGCTCTGGGGATTTCAAACCTGAAAGATGGGACTAATTTGGAGTCCAGTTCAAACGCAATTCTCAAGTGCTAAAGCGATTCCGGGTTAGTTTTGACTTTTAACTCATTAAACACTGTCCAATTACCTATCCGAATTGACCTCGTTCATAGGACTATAGGCTGCAGAGTATTGGAAGGCATGAGAGCGGAACTCACTTTCCACTGTTATACTGTTCCAGTTGTACGATAATTTCCTGGAATGTCGGACGGAAATCTGGGTTTTCTGTCCAGCAAGATCGCATTAGATCCTTGTAAAAATATGGGATCTCCGGAATGTTCACCTTAAAACCAAAACAATTTTTTCTGGATTACTTGCTGGCCAGTCATAAACCATGTGATTTAAAATGTTTGCCTAAAGCACCAGTGGAATGTACAACAGCCTCGACATAATAGAACTACAGACTGCATTGATTACAAGTTGCGTTATGTGTGGATTGTCCCCCGATCACCCAACCTTATCTGCGCGCACAAACATGCCTGCGTACACACGCGAGCAATGTAGCATCAAGGTCGGTTGTCTTTCTTGTGAGCGCTCTCACAACCAAATTGATTTTTGAGGGCGTCGAAAATTAACGAGAAAATGAATGCTATTTCAGTAGTCATCTTTGCGGAGTATGGTTTCTAGGTGCATCCGGAAAGAAGTTAGTCCGAAAGCTGGCGTCCGAGGCAACCGAGTTATTATAGGGTTATGCTCTACGATGATCGCTTTTACAACTCTATTTAATTAATTTTTTGAAACGAAAATGCATTCCGGAATTTCTGTTAAGATTTCCTGATTTAGCCCATCTACTGTACGCTCGATGGAATAAAAGCGTCAGAGTTGTGTATAAGTACAAGAGTATGAGGGTAGGGGTTGCCCATATTACAGGCGTCAGAATCCTCGAACATTTGTTTACCCCACATAGGTGGAGGGAATCCGAAGTTATAAAAGCCAAGGTTTTGGCTTTTTGCTCGTATTCTTGTCGACTGATCGTTTTAGCTACATGATATTGCCATGCTAAACCCCTGCTCCCAAGTGCACGGGAGACGATATTGTCTGTCGACCTAGACCGTGAACATTATTCGTGCGTCTTTAAACGATGGCAAAAAATTCAAATTCTCGAAGGGCGGAACGAAAGAAAAGTCTACTGCAGTTAAGCGGTCATATCTTCGTGTAGTTGCCCCATCGGCGTCATACCCGCACGTGCGTACATTTTGAAAACGTACCTCAGGCCTAAAGGGCGGATCGCCTGCACGAACCTTCTCGACAATTTCCTCTGCCGAGAGGTCGCAATCAGGGAAGGGTTCGGAGCAGCAGAGAATCTCCTGAAGAATTATGCCGAAGGAGTAGACGTCCCCTTTTTGAGTCCCCGCAATCCTTACAATGCCTTCACGCAGAAGTTCGGGGGCCGTCCACAGCAGATCTTAATAAAACAGGAAAGCGATCATAGTTTCGACTTCAGATGGGCGTAACAATAACCGTATTTAGACCGACTTAAACTTTGGAAAACACTAAGGATGAACTTAAATGAACGTCTTTTCTCGCTTGTCGTAGAACTGTTGATAAAATTATGGATTATGATGGATCTGAGAAAGAGGTGTGAGACCTCACGAAATAGGCATTGTGAATGTGACGAACGGTCGTATTCTACATAATGCTCACTCGTGAAACCGCACTCCTCAGCTCAGCAACAAACTTTTATAGCTTCGGTCTAACATGCTTTTTCTTGCAAAGTAATCTCACTAAGCGCTGAACTCGGGTAACAAACCACAGCCGATATATCGCCGGATGAAGGTGGCTAACAAGTGAGAAGTGGCAAATCCAGTGTTACTACCTCTGACAATGACAAACACCGCAGTTCAGAACGCGCTGTAACCCTGCGCCCACCTCGCCCACCAGTATCTGTTCTGTTGCGCCTACTAGTCTGACGTGACTGTCTTACTTTCTTATTTGTCTTTGTTTCGTCTGACGACAGGTTGGTATCACCAACCGGAAAATTCATTAGTATAATTTGATTTTTCCGAAGAACCTCTTTCTTTATGTATGTGCAGAGTAATATTACCGACAAAGACAAGGGGAACTGGAATGGTCATTTTTGGCTTCGTTGCCTCTGTCAGTAAGAATCAGCCGCCGTACATACAGATAGGAGAGACTGAAGACAGAAATTCGGGTAGATTAATACAGAACTGTTTTGGAGTTCTTAGGTCTTTATTTAGCCCACCATAATTCCAACCAGGATCTGGGGGTTGGAACGCAAAAACGTGCGCCCACGCACGTCCAGGTGTATCCCGGAGGCCGTCCTTCAAAGGGGTCATAAGCAGTTCAGGGATCCATTGTTTATCAGTGCCTCGACACTTGGCATCATCTGTCACTGCAGATCGTGTACCCCTACATACACAAATGGACGCACGGCGTTCCGTTGGCTTCCCGAAACACGGATGACCCGAATTTGTCACAGAGCTCTCGAACTTGCAGCAACCTGTGAGGTCGAACTCAGCCAACACACAAGGAAATAGCCAATCTTCAGTGATTCTAGCGGATTGCTACAGCGCTGTTTCGGGATTATCCTGCTTCAGTCGGCCAGCCTAAATGCATGTCCTCCTCTCCGGTCTTCGCCTAAAACATTTGCCCCTTTTGTGTACGTCTGTTTGTGCTTCTGGTTTCAGATGGCGGAAAAAGTCGGTTTTGGCTTTGTGCCAATTTTGACTCATTTATTGTACTGATGCAAAAATGCATAAACATTTGTTTTCAAACTGTCCTATATAGTTCGACTATCGTGGTCCACAATGTCCACCATGTACTCCATAGCAAGGTGGGGGCAGGCACGGTGACTTGAACGTGGATTAGTAGAGTAGACTTTCGTAGCGTCTACCGCACACTAGTGCAGTGTCAAAGCAAAGTCAGGAAGACTGGAGGCGGTAGAGGGTGCAGGTAACTGGTACGGCCGGGCCCGCACCTAGGCGTGCCACAAAACCCGCTGGTCTGCAGCAAACATTTGGCCAGGATTTACCTAGTGGCAGCATCAAAACGGATCAGAAAGACGACGAGAACGAGTGGACAGACATGCACACGGTCTGTATGCCCAGCGGGAGCGCAAGCGCAGGGGACCAGGTACCAGGTGTCAGGCTGCGCGGGCCATAGTTTTCTGATTGTGGCATAGCAGATTAAACTGTCATAACAGATGTCTGAAGTTACGATTAAAAAGCCAAAGCGCTGGCGAAATATCCGGTCGTAGTCGTTGAAATTCAGAGTGTAAAACAAACCTTCCTGGGAAAAACAGTACTGGTGAGAGAACAGCTAGAGTGAGGGCACACATTTGAGCGCTGTAAGTTTTAATGAGAAGGAATGAGAGAATACACGTCAATTTAAATGTTTCGAGCTAACTCCTACCACGTTTAAGAGAACAACATTCTCACCTTCTGGGTCTGCTTTCTCATATATTCCGTAGAGAGCATTCACACTGCCAATGCCGTAGTCAGTAATTTTTAACACCCAACGTCCATCGACGACGCAGTTTGTAGATTTCAACCGTCCATGCGTTGTAACGACGGACTTGTGAATGTAGCTCATTCCCTAAGCAATGGCATTAGGACTGGCTGTGTAAAAGGCATAGCAAGGTAATTCCCTGTAGTTTCCAGCTGGCTGGAAGAAGTGACTGAAAATGCTTTATTGACAGACCGGAAGGCCGAGCAAACAGAGGACGCACACAAACATCTTGGTAGTTGTCAGATGCTACTGTGTGTAACTAACTTATTTTTTGTGAAAAAGCAGCATTTGAAATTAACTTCAATGGTGCTATTGTGGCAAACATAAGGGCACGAACGACACAGGCAAAACGGGTGTGTCGCGCGATAAATTCGAATCAGACTGGCCTACCTCTGCTCTCTGAATGACGTGCATACTGGCAATACTGGTAGCGGTCATGACATTTTAATATTGCACAAATATATCCGACATTACATCTCACCTTTACCAAATCTTTAATGAGTGAATGCTTGAACTCGACGTCCAAAACAACTCTTTTAGTTTCCAGAATATCCTTGTAAAGGAGAAAGATAAACAGTTCAGCATAAAGGGAATCGTATATAAGGTAACAATTGTGCAACCAACGCGACATGTAGTAACAACAGAACTTTAACACATTTGAAGTAAGACTGTACACTCGGGCACTGCACAATAAAGTCTTGACTGACTCCGACATGTCAGATAACGATCGGTATTTCACCATCTGTTATGTGGTTATTGTTTGCACTTTTTGAATTAACTGGTATTCTCCCGAGCGTTGGTACTTCAGTGCGGACAACGTCAATCGCCATGTTGGTCTAGGCTCCCGTTGTGAGGGCCTCCGGTCACGGATCACTCAAGCCTGCTCACACTGCGCGTGAACGACTGATAATACAACTGTCCGCAGCCCCATTAACCTACCGTCCTCCCTCCCCTCCATCTCTGCGAGCCGCCACGAAGACAGATCAGAGGAAGGGTAACTAGACACCCAATAACTGACTTGCCTGCTAGTGGTCTGTCTCCCTGGGGAAGTTCTTGGACCACCAGAGCTTACTTCATAAACCGTCCTGGTATATTAAGGGAGGCATATTATTCCTCTACCTCAGGTTTCTGAAAAACGTTAATTCCCCCTGCTCTCTTCAGTACAAAGTGTGCTTGACCATTGGTTACTGTCTAGAGGCAATCTTACGCCAAACGTAATGCTGAAAACGAGCATAACACGTAATTATCATGCGGAATGACTGACCCTGAGGCTGCCATGACTGCAATACGCATAGACGAGGTTGAAGGTATCCGTGTCCAGATAACACCCAACAAACGTGTTCACATTTTTGTTGCGCACCTCCCGCAGCGTTCGCAGCAGCTCAATCAGTTTACTTTTAAGGGAATGCATTGGCACATTCAAAGGTTTGATATATACTGGGGTTCCCTAGATAAAAAAGTAAAGAATAATGTTTGCTGAGATACTGAGAAGGAGAAAAGGAGACTGCGAGTTTTGCAAAACGTCCTTCAGAAAATGAAATCTGCATGCATTTGAATTTTAAAAGTCCATATTGGGTGTAGATACTGCAAGCCGGTGAACAGTTTAGCGAGATGCCCTTTCCTAGATAACTGAATCGGGGAGGGAAGACGACCGCTGGGATAGCTTCATTTGCGGCTCTGAACCTTCTAGTCACATAGGCGGGTATTTGGACTCAGTGTAATCACCATAAAAGCGGGGAGGGCTTAGCTGTGCTCGTCAATTTGTGTCCACCCGGCTGCATCGAACAAGCGTGGTTCACTACCTCTGCTCAGCAGCTGTTCTTGAGACGGCTGTCGTGTCGGCTGTTGGTCAAAATTGTCGAAGGAGCGTGGATGTAGAGTACTACTGTAGATAGCCGCCTGTAAGATCGTACAAGCCTATGGTAAGTAGATATGCCTGTAGATCGTTTGACAGCTCTGCATCCTGATAAGAGGCTAAGATCTTGTCCCAAAATATCTGAGCCACGGCTCCACTGGAATTAAACAGGGCCAAGATAGATCTCCGCATGCCTCATTTGGGCAATTCGGTTCTGCTATGTTGTGACATCATAATTGTAATGACTCCCCTTTGACGTAATATTTATAGCACCAATTTACGGGTGATCTGAGACCCCAAGATGCAGGGTTTCCTACAAGCCACTAAACATGAGATATATATTCCCAGTGACTTCTGTTTGAATTAAGTTTTGTTCTCCGTAGGATGAGTCGCTGGCTATGTCATTTGGGCGACGCAGGCACAAATACCAGTTTTTGTGGCTCTCTGCCTCTGTTCGGCAGGTGTTTTCGAGACGACTGCCAGGTTGGCTGGTTGGTCGCGGTTGCTTTAGAACTAAACGGGGGTCAAGTTGGGTGTTGGCATACGTCATTCCGGTTGCACAGTCTGTGACTCCCTATGTATCGCTACTCCAGCAACTGTGCCCACCTTTACCTGTAGTCGGCATGACACGGACAGCCTTTGCCACCCTCATCTGCTCCGCGAACTTCCTTCTCTCGTAGTTTTCTCGTAGCATATGCATAGCCAACCTCTGTTGTCCGTACGGTAAATAATTACACAATTCTATACTTGGGGCTGACTGTTGGCGGTTCGTGAATATTACGCGGTTATTACGCAGTCTTTGCGGCAAAGGAGGGCGTCCAGGAATGCCAGCTGGTTGTTTATCTCTGTCGGCCAACGTGTTCGCGTCCTCTTCCGGTCGTAATGAGGCGTTATGTATGAAGAGGTTTGGTGGGATTTATACAGCATCATTCCGCTTTACTATAAACAGGATCACGGGCAAGTCATGGTTGCTCTCGCCCAATGCAGCAGTGACTAACTTGGCTGTCTGTGACGCACGAACGATGGATTATCGCCTCGGCCCATAATATCGGCAGCGCCCACAACAAATCCGTGGCCTAAAAGAATGTAAGCGTCTGCTATGCGCTGATCAGCAAACCATGGCCACCCTTGTGTGCGCTGGCAGTCCCCTGTTACTTGGTGCCCTGCCGGCAAATGCGCTTGCGCCCCTGCTAGATGTACAGGTTGTGGGCATGGTTGTCCTCCTTTTTCTGACTCCCTTGTTTTGCTGCTCGTTAAAATCCTGGTCGAGTGTGCTTACTGTGGACCAGGGGTTGTGGTGGTACGCCCACGTGTGCGTCCAGCCGTGCCAGTCACTTGCGCCCTTCCCCGCCTCCGATCTTCTTGACCGTCTTGACACAGGGCTTGGGTGGGGATGCGGAGGAGAGAGTGCAGCGAGTGCTGAATAAGCCCACCCTAACTATAAATTAATTCATCTCAAGTCACCATGCCTGTGTCACCTTTCTATGGAACAGACGGTGAACATGGTCGGACGCGACGGTCGATCTGTCATGTTCATGTTCTCTTCTGGTTGTTCTGAGGCGAAATGTATGAAAAGGCATTGTGGGGTATGTGCGGAGCAACTCTGCATCATTATAAACAAGGTCACGTGTAAGACGTAGTTTCGCATAGCCAGGTGCCCTAACCGTTTCTGACGCACGAACTATGGATTATCGTTCCGGCCCATAACCTCGGTAGCGCCCACTTCAAATCCGTGGGTTTGCAGGGCAATAGGCGTTGGCACGGGCGAATTTCGCAACGCCATCTACTGATCTTGGGGAATCTATTTTCCCAGACAGTTAATACTGGTTGACGATACGGCGATTGCCTCAGGGTCGCTAATTGACATATGCGGAAAACCGCACAGACCCACAGAAACGTGGGGAAGACGTTCTAATCTACTCAATAGCCAACGCTGCTTTTATTGCTGATTATGTGGAGGAGTCGGTCTTTGAGTTTGAGCAGGAGCATACGTTGTTGTAAACTGCAGATCAAAAGTTTTTACCAACCGTTTTAAATGAGGTTTTTTCCGCCTCAGATCTCTTGGTGTTTTCCGTAAGCTCTCAGCTACTTCCCATGGGGTACAAAGACAAACGGCCTTTCCTGGCCGTTTTTGTGTGTACGTTCACATGTTATCGTAGAAGTAAATGTACTGGTTCGTTCACCCGCCTTGTTTACTGGAGGCTAGAGTTAGTATTCACAAGCAGGAAAAACCTAAATTTGTCCGTTGAAACATTAGAAAGTGCTAAAATTAATTTCGATCAAATGAATGGCCACCGGAATTGTCGTGTTCCAATTTCGTTTATTTCATTGATGAAGAGTAATTCTGCCCCAATTAAGCTGCAACCTAAGTATTAACGCAAGTATAGCGAGTTTCTGAGCTCGTAAGTACAAGTACCTATCACCTTCACTTAGTTGGGTTCTAGCCTGTGCAAGGTCACATTACACGGGCGTAGGAAGCTTCAGATCACAGACGTTTTCTACAAACAAACGTATATAAGAAAGAAATTTTCGACGAATTGTACCCGAATCATATTCTGCCCTCTACAAGGTATAAGCTCGACCATGTTGTCTGAGCAGCCAAGTTGCGAAAGTGTGTATCCGTTTTAAAAATTTTCAGCTGGGAGCAGGTGTATGTCAACTAACTGCCAATTTAAGCGCAGGTCTAATGCTTCCTTTGTGGTTGGCCAAAAAACTGAAACAGACATCCTTTTCCGCCCCAATCTGCTTGGAAGCCCTTTCCTGTACGGTGGTGTATATGCATGTGTTCTCTTTTCCATCCATTAGCCCCATTCACATAACCCCTACTTCCAACGGTCCCGTAATACATAACGACCTATCCCGCGGAATCTGGATGAGGTGGAATATTGCGTCGTTGTCGGCCTACGATAAAACTCGTTTCGCTGTTCATGCATGAGCGTCTCTTCTTGTCGAACTGATCGATTACGTGACGGACGAGCCCATTTACTATATGTATATATATATATATCAATCAGGAATGGGCGCACGCCGATCTATTGGCTTCACAAAGCAAACAAGCTCCGTATGTGTGGCAAAGGTCACAAACAGGCAACCAATTACCAGGCCGAAGTCGGCCAAGTTATAATAGCAGCGAGGAGGGACGACAGAGAATGCGGGTAGATTGATACAGCACTGTTTCGGGCCTATTCTGCCTTCATTCAGCCAATCATAACCCTGACTACCAGCAGCTGGGACCAGAAACACAAACATGCGCACAGACGCACCTGGCGCAGTCGGTCCACCACTGAGGCCTACCAGATGGGTCATAAGCACTTCATCGAACCGAAGTTCATCAGTGACTCGCCACCTGTCATTCTCTATCGCTGCAGATCGGGTATTTATCAATTAGGAATGGGCGCACGCCGATCTATTGGCTTCACAAAGCAAACAAGCTCCGTATGTGTGGCAAAGGTCACGAACAGGCAACCAATTACCAGGCCGAAGTCGGCCAAGTCATAATAGCAGCGAGGAGGGAATACAGAGAATGCGGGTAGATTGATACAGCACTGTTTCGGGCTTATTCTGCCTTCATTCAGCCAATCATAACCCTGACCACCAGCAGCTGAGACCAGAAACACAAACATGCGCATATATATATATATACATATATATAGCGGTGAAACACGATTAAGTTCCGGAAAAGTGTTCTAGTTCCGTGAATAGGTAGTATTGAACTCTAGTAAAATTTAACACCAAAAACTAAAGGAAGCTACATATAGTTCCTGCACAATAACACGCCAAGTTAGAAACCAAGGCAGCAAAATAGCCAATGGAAACCCAAGGTCGAATGCCATTGGCGAACCCAATAAGAGTAAAGTGGGAATGCTGACTCAACGGCCATACATAATGATGCAGAACAGTGGAAGACAAGGAAGCCGCCAAGATGGCCAGCAAAGGTAAAATAGGCCAAAGTTGCGTGTGTACCAACCAATAAATAACCTGACTGGGGTATTCAAGAGAAAATTTATGTTTTCATGAAAAAGGCAGTCAGTATGCCAAAACTAAACAGCACTACTTTCGTAAGAATTAGAAGGCAGTAATAAGTGATATGCAGAGTTAGGTCGTACACTGTGTCTTTACTCGTACGTCTTTGAGTAAAGAGTTGTGAGGGAAACAGACTTGAAAAACCAGCTTACGTTATATGTGACCGTTCGGTTGCAAGTATTTACGACGTCGTTTGCAACTGATTCACCCGACTTCACAGTATGCATGTCAGCACTGTTCACATCGACGAGAGACGTCATACATAACGTTAACCATTGTTCGGGGGCGATATTTGCCTGCCAGAGAAATAACAATTTAATATGGAGGGGGATGGTTATGGCCGATTCGAATAAATCATTTGTCTCATTTCGGAAAACTTTGGCGACCTGGTGAGATTTGACCCCACCACAGCGTAAAAAGGACTCTACTGCAGCTCCGCCGGGAATAGCGAGTTTAATCACACTTGGGTCATGTTACCCGCACAGTCTACTGCAACGCTTGGAATCCATTAATTCTGATGCAGCAAACTTACTGCTCAAACAGGCATGATGAAACTTACAATCCCCGGTTTTACTCATTGCTCGGTTGGTTAGAGCGTTGGCTGAACTTAAGCCTTCCGCCTGTAGATATGAGTTCGGATTCCAATGAGGTCACCGAGTTTTTCAAAAATTAATCGAATGAAATACCCTTCTGCTGTTAAAACACATCAACAGACATCTTCTTTGACCTCATCTGAAGGTGGGTTTTCGTCTGTAAGTTCTTATCTTCTACTGTCATTGGTAGAGGAATGCAATATCGCAAATGTTCAAAAACCTCTGTTAGGTTCACTTCTACAAACTGAACAATGATACATTCTGCGATGCGTGAAACCACGTAATTCACTTTTTGCATAGTTTTCGAGACTTTACCACCACTTAATTCTACAGGCAGCGTTTGCCTGGTTTCATCAGAGAGGGTCAACAGTAGCTCGGGTGTGCCAGTTAAGGCGGGGCTCGGAAACGCGATCTTGGTTGACCAACAACTAAACACTTACGTTCTACTACTGATTTAAATAAGTATATTACTGCTAGAGGATACATTCAATGTTAGGTGCTTCGAGGGCTGCTGAAGTTATGAATCACGATTATTCTTCGGGTTCTCCATAACAGCAGGGTTAGGGTTAGGCTCATTTTTTAGTGTTAGCGTTACGGTTTAGACCTATGATTTGGAGTTATAGTTAACATTCCGTCCCTCTCTTTCCTATGTGATTTTATGAAAACGTTTTTCATCTGTTTATTCATTGTCTTGAACCTTGACCTTACTCTTATGCACTGATATTGTGTACAAATTCATACTGCTTTGCGCTTACATTCATTGCCTATGTTATGCAAAGACAGGCTACAGTTGAAAAACCGTGACGAAATTTATGAGCACCAATAAATCCTGCTTCAGGTTAGTATTACGGTCAGGGTTTAGGGTTTGGACCTAGGATTAGGGTTTAGAGTTTAGGATTATGGCTAGACTTCAGGGTCAGGACCTAGAGTTAGAGCTTAGAGCTTGGGGTTAGGGCCAGGATTTAGGAGTTTGAGCTAGGTTGTGAGGTTCATGGCGGGGATTTATAGCCATGGTTAGTACTTAGTGTTAAGGTTGGGTATAGGATCAGAGTAAGGGTTAGAAGTCATAATTAGTGTTGGGGTTAGGTTTCTGCGTTTGGATTTAGGGTTAGCGTTTATAGTCGGGATTTAGATTTTAGGCTAAGCCTAGTGTTTTGGGTTGAGGCGTATGCCATTTTGCATCCGCCATCCTACAACTTTCATCTATGGGTTCCGTCCGATGTATGAATATTTGGGCGAGGTGTTTGACTCTTCAGTAGGTCCTCCAGCATCCCGCGTGCTTTTTGGTAGATACTCCAGTTTATGAATCGTTGCTTTTTAATTTCCCCAGAAATAAGCCGCTAACTGGAGTAGCTCAATCTTTGGGCGCAAACGGAAATTTTAGCTAGTACGCGTGTTGCTGGTATGGCATACTTAACTCTAAAAACATACTAATCGCTGGCTGTGGACGGTAAATGAATATTTTGCGGTTATTCCTCGATGGCTGATAGAATTCGGCCTAAACAGTCATGCATCAAATTTCCATCTGCGGCCACGGAACATAGAGTAAAGGGATCTACTTCGAGACACTAGGCAATTTCTAAGGAAATTGAAAAGCAACAATTCTTAGTAGACTTGACTTTTAGTGGTCTTTTACAGCGAATTTTCCGTATTGAATGCTGCTTACGCTGAGAGTTTAGTATCCATTAAAACAAACTAGCACATTCATTCTTCCGTGCCTCCCCCTAGCCCCAACAGTAAAACCTCTGTCCTCACGGTTCCCGTGTCGCTCGCACCTGGACTTCTCCTATTACCAGGAGGACCGCGCTTCCGAGCAAGAAGATTTCACAAAAAGGACCAAACTGGGAATCCTACATTGCTAGCTCTGTCGTTCTGTGGCCGGCTGCGTATTCACTGCGGAATCATACCTTTTGCCACTGATCATCAATCTTCTGATCGTCTAAAACACAGTAACATTTAAACTCCGTCTCCATGCCTTCATTGTTAGTAATGATGGAAACACCTTAATATGAGTATTCTCTTCAGATCTGCAAAGTGATTTTGGAAGTTATCATTCATGCAGCAGTTTTTCTTGGGTAATAAAAGCAAGAATTTCATCGCCACTGGAAACAAACGTACCGATGATTTCCGTTTCGAAGCCGATTTAACCACACGAACGTCATCCGGATACAAAACGAGCTTGTTGTTGTCTTTTCGTAGTTTTATAATTCTTTGATGATGCCTTTAGATAATAAATCTTCTATCAGATGCCATTTAGGCTTTTAAACACTAATTTATTCATCGATGAGATGGCCCACTAACCTGAAGAAGTGTCCAACTGCGATTGCCAAAACCATTGCACACGAAATTTGGACCGTCAGCAAAATGATCAGTGTTGAGATATTGGCTTCGTGGATTAAAAATTGACCATTCAGGAAAGCAATGGAAAAAATCAAAGCATTTTAAAATCCCCCAAAATCTGCCTAGCCTATTAATGTTTTATTTGTTGGGGCTCGTTCGGTAGAGGAATTCTCACTTATTTAAACAAGCCGGGCTGAATCCTAAGCTAGGCTTGTGCAGCTGATTTCGAGATAAGCGTTGGCTTAATCAATTCCGGTTTGCTCACCAATCACCCATAATCCGCGTTTAATTAAATTATGTGTGAATCAGGCTGACCTTCGCCTAAACTATTTTCAGTTCTAGGGTAAGGTGACACCATACTAACAGCACAGGTACTAGCCAAAAGCCCATACACGCGTGTTTCGCCGACGTTTTGCCGCTGCATGGCGCAGCTGCGAGGGGTTCGGCTCGTCAGTGGGTCCCCCAGCATTCCCCGTGTGTTTTCTGGTAGATACTCCAATTTAGAAATTGTCACTTTTAAATTTCCTGAGAAATTTTGTGCGAAGTAGGAGTAGATCAGTATATTCAAGGTCTATAGGCACAGACCGAGAATTTTATACATGCATATTTGGGCCAAAGTCCATCAGCCACAGCGGGTAACCGCGTAATATTCATTAACTGCCTTGATTATACTGATCTACTCCTACTTCGCACAAAATTTCTCAGGAAATTTAAAAGTGACAATTTCTAAATTGGAGTATCTACCAGAAAACACACGGGGAATGCTGGGGGACCCACTGACGAGCCGAACCCCTCGCAGCTGCGCCATGCAGCGGCAAAACGTCGGCGAAACACGCGTGTATGGGCTTTTGGCTAGTACCTGTGCTGTTAGTATGGTGTCACCTTACCCTAGATTATACTACTAGCTGCCTGTAGGCAGTTAATGAATATTACGCGGTTACCCGCTGTGGCTGATGGACTTTGGCCCAAATATTCATGTATAAAATTCTCGGTCTGTGCCTATAGACCTTGAATATACTGATCTACTCCTACTTCGCACAAAATTTCTCAGGAAATTAAAAAGTGACAATATTTTCAGTTTGACAGCGACGTAATGAGTGACACAAATGTCTACCTAAACAATGACCCCTGATACAGTGCTTGTATTTGTCATAACAACAGGCAAGTAGGAGGAAGTGGTCGAGGCGTTACTGACGTTGGTGACTCTTTTTCAAAGCGCTTTCTACTCACTTCGGTAGTTATGTTATTTTGACTATTACAAGTATTATTAACTCTTGTTCCTGTAGTGATAAGTATAACTGCTGCAGTGCCAACAACGGGCTATACTATTGAGCAGGTGGTACAACTAGTAGAAGCAATTACATCTGTCCACTCATTGCTAAACTTCACAAAGTGTAATGAAAGAAGATGCGGCGTTGTCAAGGGTATCTTACGCATCCGCATTCACAAAAAGGGAAGCAAAGACACCACTTATAATGAAATAGCGCTAATAAGGGTTTCATGAGTTCGACTAAAAGAGGCGGTGGGCAGAATACTCCCTGAGAAAGAAATGCTGTTTTATTTACGCTATTGTCCAGTTTAAGTTAGCCAACGTTTGTCGAAAATCGAGCGCGCGACTTAAAAACATATGAAAAATGCGAAATTGGCTGACTTGCTTAATCTTAGGCAGTTGGAAAACTGAAATCAATCCAAAAAGGACAAAAGGTCCTATGAGAGATAAGTATGTCTATTGTAAACAGAACAGAATCAGAACACATAAAAAGCGATATACAAAGAAGAAAGTTAATGAAAAGCAATGATATTATCATTAAAAAGACAGTTAGTACAAGTTGTCCGTCAGCATGGTATCCGGTATGCACGTCTTTGAAGGCTGACAACGGTGGACCGCGCGACATATGGTACTACTGGCATCTGTGTCTTAGAAATTAGTAGAGGACCCATTATGCTAATCTTTAAATCAATCTGTTGAACAAACGTACGTTTTTGATGATTTCTCGTTGTGGCAGTTCGTCATCCGTCACCAATGCTGCTTTCCGATGCTTCGAGAATGCAGTGGTGACTTTCCTTTGAGGTTAACACCGTTAGGGAGATATTCGCGTAAGCTAGCTTATTTCCTCCAAGGCACCACCTTCTAACTGCAAGATATGACCAACTGGTCGAATCCGCGTCTACAATCCGTGACCGACATCATGAAATGTTGGCCGGAATTCCGAAACGCGTTTATTACTAGGGAGGATTACTTAGGTGGGGTTGAATTACTGATTATCGTGTGGCATAATCCCGTGACCTTTCAAGCACGCTAAGATGTCGACTTTTGAAGTTATTTTTTATCAGTGGCCAGCAGAAACCGCACTCGGCCAAAAAGCGACTACGTCACTAGCATGCATTTTTTCCATTGATGTGTGGCGTGGGTACCACTTTACTGAAGCCGCTGAAATGATCACTCAGAGGCAAAATGAAAGATTTGAATATATAATGACATTAAAGGTCAACTAAAAATGTTCGCTACTTAAGTAGTATGATCTGGGCAGGCTGCAAAAGGGTGTACATTCAAGGGTCGACACGGTAATGTGTCTGAAATATCACGGGATTATGCCGCATGATAGTTCGTAATTCAAATCCACCTAGGTGATTCTTCCTAATTGAAATCGTACTTAAGAATAGCAAAATGTCATGAAATCGGTCACCGACTCACACAACACCCGCTGATTCCCAGACACATGCGTCAGATATCGCGGATCGCGACAGGCAGCCATTGCAGCCGTTTCGCAGACCGCAAGTTTATCCAGCAAACATGCTGTACCACAGTTTATGGAGGGACCCTTTTCAGTCGCATCGAAATTTATAATAAGGAGGAAGGAGGGCTTGATCAGCCTCAATGTCTGCCCCCTTGTACATAGTATACCAGGTGCGAGTTCGCGCCAGTCCGACTGGAGACGTGTTCGCGTGCATTGGCCTCGGCGCCAACCCCGCAGTTTACGCGTGACACATAAATGCTGGGGCCCTACCCAAACCCTAGTCAATTCGGATCACGTGCGGATATCACAAGGTGACGGTTGTCATAAGAGCAACACTTGACGTGATGGGAGCCTAATCCTCACTGCCGAAGACTGGTGGCTTTCCTGTCAATTTGGCAGTTTCTCACGCTCAACACTTCAGCATGTCATGATAATCCACAAAGTGTCGGAGTTCGTATGTCCAGCTACACGATTTGTGACACACACACACACACACAGACACAAACACGATAGTTCGACGGTCGTGTCTAACGATGTCCACCGTATGCCCCACAGCAGATAGTCGGAGCAAAGGCACAGGGGTTTATAGTGCTAGTATACTTGCGCTGCATCTATCACACTCTCTCCTCCTCCTCCGCCTGAGTTTGGTGTCAAGACAGAGCCAAGAAGACCGAAGACGCGTGAGGACGCAGGTGGGTAGCTTGGACGGATCCTCACCTTGGCACTCCACTCCGCACTCCCTTGTCCACACAACAAATGACCAGGATATTGACCGCCAAAACAATGGGGTGGTGGCAGTGGTCCCAGCCGTGCGACGACTACGACAACAGGGTCTGCCAACGCACCCCGTGAATGTCGGCATTTGTTATTGTTCAAAGATAACGCCTGCCAGTGTCCGATGTTGCCACCCCCTCCCCCCGTTGGTCCAGCGCATTTAGCACGCGGCCCGTTTGAGGGGCACACACACATTACGTACTTTGATTCAACACTGGAGGAAATAAACTGAATACATACAGCCATGACATCCTGTTAGCAGGCAGTAATTTCTATTTGGTCCATCACTTCCGTTTGGCCAAATCTTTGTTTGCACCTCGACCAGTTGCGTCAAAGGCCACATAATAACAGAGGTGAGTTCGAAAATCTCATCATAAGGCGTTTGAGAGGAATTCGCACTCCCATCGCAAATCTTCTGACTCAGACTGAAGAAGTAGAAGTCATAGTAGTCGTAAAAGGTGTCCCCGTCCCTTGAGAATCTGAAGGTAATGTTGGGCAACACCGGGACATCCACGGGCTCATCCATCAAGGGTTGGAAGAAATCCGCGTCTTCCGGCAGAACTCCGCCGTTTGCCTTCAAGTTCAGGTAGGTAAGTCTGATTGCCATTGCGACTGCCGATGCAGCTGAAACCATTATCTTCTGCGAAATAACAAGTGCATAAATGAGTTATGAAATACATATTGATGGTGTCCAGTTAAGCAGCGGTTTAAAATCAATATACTTCTATGAAAAGACTAACCTACAATCGAGCGCTGTGTTATCTAAAATTCCTTGTTTCTCCATCCTCCGCTCAAGATTCCTGAGGAAATTAGTCCTTTATAACGCCTTACCTACCCGATGCTACGTTATAACGTGAAAACCTCAACCTCAAAATGCCCCACCATTAAAACTTGAAACCGTTTTGCTTTGGCTGTAGCACCTTTCTGACGGATTTACAAACTTCCGGTGACCATAAGTTAGTGGGGGAATCGTCAAGGTCGGAAGTCCGGGGAGGATTCGTTGCACTTAGCACAATTGGCCACAGTCGTTGACTAATGTGTCGGGCAAGCTTATACTATCAATGACCTCAAATCGATATAGTTTAAGGTAGGGTGAAAGTAGATTAAACAGAGACGGAGGCCGTTATCCACGTTGGAAATATAGGCGGAGAGTTAAATGAAAACGGAGAAGTACTGGTTTCATTTTCTGAGTTTTTAACTTTTTTCACCTATCTATTATTATCTGTTCATCGAGCCTGAGAGCGACCTATAAACTGTACGAATAGAAGCGTGGAAAATAATTCGATTATATCCGCTTTACGTAGTATCTCCTAAACTGTGTACCACAAAAAGCAGTCGGAAAATAGATTATTTTTAAACATTTCTTTACAAGCATTGATCCCAAGTGGTAGCAGAGACGACAGCGTTGATGACTGAGTTCATGTCTGCACGCTTTTCATTAGCCGGAGTGCGATTAGGTGTATTCTTCTTGTCTGGTTCGAGTCAGTGCGGTAGTTTGAAGGTAGAAACCCTGTTGACCCTACCGGACACCAATCTAACGTATGAAGCAGCCTTCAACTTGTCTCACTCGATTTCAACTGGCACTTACAGAATCTAAAATGCCTGACGAGACATCGTACCCAGCGCCCGTGGGTAGGGCACTCATAATGATAAGACTCTGACAGGCAGCTCCGAGGACGGACGAATTTGAGAGCACCAATCTCCAAAAGCGTAGGACATCGTAGGTTATAGCACTGGAGGGGTCGAGTTGAATGATGGCGATGCGGCCTTCTCTAATTGGTGCCATATGTGAGACAGCAGAGAGGAAGAAAGCGGCCATAGGTGGCCTGGCTATCAGTAAAATGGCTATAAAAAGGGAAAGATGAGGAAATCATGTTTTTCGTGTATTAAAATGCATCAAATAAACCTTAAGTATGCCCTCGTTCCAATAACTCTCTCCCAAATATGACTGCAGTTGATGCATTTACATTTCAATATTCTGCTACCCTGAAGCGGACAATCAGAGATTTTGTTCCGAAAATAAATTTAGCACGTGTTCAAAAGGTGTAGTAGTGCTTCTTCACGTTAAATTCACTGGGTTTTCATTAACGGAGAAGTGACAAAAGGCATCTTTTGGCCGGGGAATTTGCGACCTACGATTTTCGGCAGCTAACACATGACAGATCAGTTTGTGTCATTATTTTATTTACTTTGATACTGCTTCGGAGTCAGCGATAGTCACAGTGTATGGATTTCGTGACTGGATGGAAGGTGTTCCTAACTATAGCGACCCATCGAGTACTCCAGATTTACAAACGCCCTCCATCACGCCTACGTTGTTCCAATTACTCTAACCTGAATACCACGCGCTCAAGTAAGCTATTTTAATGGAAGACTTAATTTTAATGCACATTTTAAAACCTTCCACTGTGTTTACGTTGTCCATAAAAAAGAGGAGGAAAAGCTTGGGAAGGGCGTGAGTAAATTGCCTTAAATCTGCCGATTTCGAAAGTGGCTGACGCCTTACCATAAAACATTAGAGGGTGGTTGAAATGAAATCATCAAATAAAAACTATGCACTAAAGGCACTTGGTATCTGGATAGAGTTTTGAAAATAAAACCCCCTTCCCTGCTCCGTATTTTACAAAATGTTGCACATATTTTATGACTAGGAAAAGTAATCTCTTTATGTTATTTAAGTAATGGTTTTAATTTAAACTTTTGCCTCAGTTGTGAGTTTAGAGCTACTAAATCGAGCGTGCACCAGAGAAATCGCTATTTACAATCACAGTCGAGAATTTCCCGTGAAATTTCTCAACTACCCAGTGAGGATGCAGTTTTGTGAATCGGGGCTTTATAGCTTGGTCTGACGAGTCCTTACGACAGCTCGCACACAGGCAAGCATGGCTTCACCGTAAACAATTATTTAGCTAATTTGATCGGAGCGATCTTTGACATCGGCCTTGATGTTCGATCTAATTCTCAGATAACTACAAAAGAGCAGGTAAACGCTAGGTTGGTTTCATTCAAAATGGAGATGCAATGGCGGCTCGATGAACGTATCCTTCTCAGACATCTTAATCCCATCTGAGCCTGCGTTCACACAGAGTAATATGTAACCCAAATAAACGCCTACCCACATCTTTATTGGGTAGCGAAAATACAATTTTGAGCAGCATTCGAAATTTAGCGTTTGAGTTGTGCAAAAGCATAGCGCATTAGGGACCGCTGACAAAAATTGGCCTCACGGGTGTGATGTAAGGACGGACTGTACCCATGAAGAACCAAGAGACTGAAAATCGCTTAGGACGTTTTGATTCGAAAGCCTTGTTCATTCAAAGTCACCTCAATTGTATTGCTCACATGCAAACGATAGTCCTTTGTGAACAATCGGAGTTCTATAAGTTGCCCAAGTTATTACGACCATTTGATTGTACAACGTTATTGGCTACTGAGAAAGTTAACTTGGCCTGACCTCAAAAGGTGGAATTTAAAGAACTCCATAGATTAAAACTGGGACAACCGGCCAACTGGTTACGCCGGTTCACAACCTACAAATAGTCAAAATCTGCTGAACCCGGCGATGGAATTCTTGCTAACAGCCTCCCTACTCCGTCGACACCCATTATCACCAACATCGGCAGATCCAACAACAACAGAGTAGAGTATGTTCTGGGATAAGGGTTTTGTTAGCACATGCATTTACTAGGGATGAATTAACTAGTTAGTTAATGACAATGGCGACTCATCTAATCTTTGTTCGGTTATAAAGGTAAGTTTTTAATTGCTTGCAAGTTGATGCATGTGTGCCGCAATATCAGGGCTGAATCTAATATTTCCCGTCTAGATCTGATAGTTTTCTCCTTTTAATATTACAGACACTACCGCGAGTTCGTCCGATTTTGAAAATTCGTCAGTAGATTTTGTGATTTTTGAGTCTGACGGCAATCTTGCTCTTAAACCTCTTTCATTTACTGTGTACACTTGCGTTTTGACGACTCGTCACGGAGCCCCTGGGAATACGGGGTCGTACTTTGAGTGGTTTAGAGCTAGTGGTCCTAACCCCTAACTCTAACCCAAACCCTAACCCCTAGCCATAACCTCAACAGTATTATGTCCATCAGGTGGGGCTACATAACTGCATCTTACCGGACACTGTGATAGGCTTCAAGACCTTCCAAAATGCACAACGTTAAGGTTAGAGCTGACGATCAGTTTTTCAACAGCGTAATTCGTGGCGCACACTGTTTTCTTTTAAACAAAACAAACAAATCTCCGAGCACTGTTGCGTCAGTACCTACATGCTTTTTTCAATTCCTCCTTTTTGCGTTCCTCCTTGTATCGCTGGGAAATGTAAACAGTTGTCTTGCAGTAACTTGTCTTTTATTAGATCGTCTTTCTATTTAATCGTATTGGAATACAAACATGTCCAGGAGCTACGCATGGCGGTAGTTCCCAGATTTTATTATGTCCTCCGGGCAACTAAGAACTTCCGTAATCATGAGTGCATGTTCGACTTGAGGAATCTTCTTGAAGTCTAATTTTTAAAACATTTCGCCGATAACCCTCTCTTGTGCAGCCTGGAGGTTTATCAGCGGCATCGGAACTGAGCTCTGTTGACCTGCGGACGATCGATTCAAGTTAAAAGCTTTAAGGTCAGAAGGCGTTTGTCCACAAACTAACAGATAACCATAATGCAGAGATAACTGTATCACACGTGAGAGAGGATTCTACAACAAGGGCGCAACAGACGATCAGCCGCTGCGTAATAGGTTCACAAAAAGGTTCATTTTCAAATTTTCGAGAAAATTATGTCTTGTAGTTAATTCCCACATGTTAAATAAAATGTGACTGTTGCCTGGTTTGATGTAAATGTTTAGTCACATATATGCATTCTATTTACGGACAAGACTAGTAAAGAAAACCTAATTCTGCTAGAATACATGGCGGAAATTGCGCTTAACTGCAGGTTTTGTTGTCACGATGACCTTTTGTTAATTTACTGAACCAAACTTTACTCACCATCGACGGGCTTGGTGAAATTTTGCAGATACCAACTTGGCTGCGAACCCCAACGAAGGCTTCGAAAGGCCACAATGTTCAGGGTTTCCGTAGCCGCTGACAAGTAAGAAAAAAAACCCCGAAAACGTTCCGCCAAGCGTATATTCTGCAGGCTTTCCAGACTTACTTCATAGAAGATTGCAATTCTCTGCCAACCGTAGTGTCGCAGAAGCACATTTAAGGATGATAGCAATGTGGAAATCTGGATAGTCATCGAGAGGGCCACCATGTCTCTTGCCGATTTTTCCCCCGGATTCGAAATGTTTAATTGCACAGACGGTTGAACCAACCCATTCAGACGACAGTTATATTGAATTTGGTAGAGACCAATGAGGTCGGCAACATCGCCCTGTCTGACCCAGTCGGAAACAAAGTTGCAATCTGCAGGCAATGCTGGTCCGATGAGTACGGTGAAACTGTATGGGAGTAGGGCAAGATTTTCAGCCTCAATTAGAGCCTTAAGGAGAGCCTGATTACGTACGTCTTCTCGCAGACTGCAGCCTTCGACGGCGTGGACGAACAATTGAACGTCATTCTCGGTCATTTCCTCATTAGTCCTCTGGGTGGCATAAAAAATGGCAAACTTCATCGTTTTGCGGAGATGAAAAACCCTAAACTCTTGCAGACAATTTTCAGGATCGTCAAAGCTGAGCAGCTGTAGATGGTGGGCCTCAGATTCGTAATCTGGAAAAGCGAGGAAAAGTAGGATAGTTGAACTGATCTGGATGCAGGCTAAGGGATTATGCCAAGGAGTTATCTTCATGGTTGGAGCTTGGTCAACTTTGTGAAGTACGCCTTACTGGCAAAATAGCAGGCTTCTCAGTTTGTTTAAGTTACTGCTGCGATAGGGACTCAAAAATCCCGGACACGTATTTGACTACAACAGCGTAACGCATCCGAGTAAATACCCCATTTTTGCAGTTGGGCGTTTCCCAAAAGTTGTAAAACCGTCCAAGCAATGCATTTCGTCTCGTTAAAATACCATTTTGCAATTGGGGGTAACGAAATGGTCCCGGCGAAAGAAACACCACTCAGTACGTTCCCAGAGACATTTTCTTAGACTCATTAGAGGGAGATTAAAGGGACGAAATTCTATGTTGGCGATTCGTCCTGCGGTTGGAGGTATATTCTCCCTATATCTTTATTATAGATGTTACCGGGATTAGTCTGCGTTTTACGCGTTCGCCACGTAATTCCCAAGAGGAAGGCGATAATTCAGTAGTCGTGGACACTCATTAACTATTTTTTGACTTTTCGACGTGTTCTCAAATGGAAACAGGAGGTTTTAACTGGTGGCAACATTTATTAACCTAATGCGTAAGCCCTAGTTACTTGGTGAGCAATAGTATGTTGATTTCTCATTGAATTTCTTGCAAGATCTCATTTCGTAGCCGTACCTGTTAGGGATTAGGTTTAGTGACTAAGTGTTAGGGTTAGGGGTTGGGATTAGGGGTGAGGATGAGGTGTTAGGGATTAAGGTTAGGGGTTGCGGCTAGGGTTAAGTATTGGCTGATACATGTCTACTACAGGTACTGCTACAAAATGAGGTTCGACTAACCCCTTCTCAATTACTCGTGTAGCATTCCATGTCTGCTTTCTAGTAGTTACTCAAAATCAGAAATTGCGGCTTTTTAATTTCCGTAAAAAGTGCTACCATAATAACGACTTGGAAATGACTCGGCTGTTAGATAGAAAGGCGGAGCTTAAGCTCTACCACCTATTCTCGCACGCTATAAGCGCGTGGGAGCTCAGATGCGAGACAATGGAGAGGCAACCCGTGTGTTATCATTATAGCTCATCGTTTTGAGGGTACGATCGACCGTTTAAGGCTGCCAATCAATGTTCCTGACGCTTATTGCGATCGAAAAAATAAGAATACTGTTTCAAATGGAATTCCACATCTGTGGAAGCGTTTCGTTGTGTCTGTTAGGAATAATTTCGCCAATTTTTATTTAAGTTTTACTTCAGGCCATAGTTTCATTCAGGGGTGTTGGGTGGCTCATATGTGAGCAGCCTGTATTTTTATGTACGCACTGCTCATCTTCATTCACTGCGCCCACGTCCCTTTCCGGTCTTCTTGACTTCGTTTTTACTATGCGCAGAAGACGGCTGAAGCAATATTGCTACCAGATTTCTAGAAAAATTCAATAAAAACTAAGAGGCTTCCGTTACTTCTATGCCAGTTTCAGCGTAAATGGCTATTGTGACATCGGAGAAGATCCGTTATCTAAAAGAAATTATCATCACACCAGATAATTAAATTTGAGATTCTAAATTCCAGTGGCTGTACATACTAATGAAATGTTGTGAGTTTCGCAATTAGATCCCTCCACACAACGTCTGTCCATGCTGTGTCCCCCAGAGTTTTAAGCCAGTAAAAAGGTCGTTTTTAAAGAACACAAAGTTTGGTAAATAAATTAAAAAATACTTACACATAAATGACTACCTTTCCCCAGAACTAACCGTGTGCCTTAAACATTTTAGTATGAATTGGAATCCAATCCGGTTATACTAGAAAGTTTGCCTATCCATTGACAGTATCAAGAGAAAACACTAGGGTGCATTAAAATCTCCAACGATGAGAGTGGTCGGCCGCGTTGAAAATAATCTGAGCTCCTCTAGCAGTTGGGCATCAGCGTCAGGGTCATTTCTCGGGGGGCGATATACTGTCAAGATATCGAGACTTTGAGAGCCCGGTGCCCTTATGGTCAGCCATAATGCTTTGGTACTACAAGTCAGTTGGGCAGTTTTTTCTGAAACGTGCAAGCCGTTCTTAACAAATGTTATTATGCCTCCACCCCTTCTGTTTTCTCTGTCTCGGCGGAACAGTTGAAATCCAGGGAGCATAAGCTCTCTATCATCAACCTGTTCGGACAACCATGTTTCTGTTATTGAGATAACATCTGGATGGAGGTCGTAGGTATGGATACGGAGTTCGTCCAGTTTAGAAAGTACCCTTTGCGCGTTGGTATACATGAATATAAGTTTCTAGTTCATGCGAGATTTGTTTTCAAACCCGACACGGGCTTCTGGGGTAGCTGTGCAGTCATTCGGATCGGCTTGATCCAGAGGGGAGCGGAATGTCGTTTGACAATCCGGTCTTTGTAGATTGTCAAGTTTTTCTCTCCGTTGGTTTGCCGTGTTCTCAATTCTAGGACAAGTTCGCGGCGTTTCATTCTCTCGGCTGGTGAGTAGTCCGGCTGAAAAAACACTCCTTTATGGGAATGCTTCAATCGAAAACGCCTGGAAAGTATTAGTTTCGCCTGCTCATTGCTACCAAGGACGATTTTTAGGGGTCGTGGTCGCGTCTTCGGAGCGGCATTTGTACGGCTACCAAGACGAAACGCCTTTAGGACTGTGGCGTCTTCTGTTGGTTGCAGCATTTCATTGAGGAGTTTCTGGAATTGCTCTAAGTCAGCAGCGATTTGTTCCCTGGGGGAACTGGCGGAGGACTCTGCGAGGCCCTGAATTATGGCACAGTGGTCCTTGTTAAGCATTCCTCTGTTTTCTGCGATTTGGACGTCGTTGGCTGGCCCTATTGCCTCGTCAAAGTGGACTGGAGAAGAGGAAGGGGCTGCCATATTGGTATTTATGTCCCCGTGAAGTTCGTCCGCGGATCCTGTTAAGGCATCGTGAATAGTTGCACACTGGGATCTATTAACAATACCTCCCATCAGAGGGCTCTGTGGAGAGCTTGACCCCCATGAATTAGAAGCTTCCTCAGCTCGGTTCTTGACTCTGTTGACATGAGAATTCGCGGTGGCAGCTAAATCCACCCTGGGTCCATAGCCATATGTCTTTGCGCTAACTGATAATCCCTCTAAGTTAGGCTCAGGAAATGAGAAAACTGTCTGGGAATTATTAAGATTGGGCGTCATCTGCCCCATTATTTCCACTGCTTCCGTTGGCACATTTACATTCGTTTCATTTTCCAACCGCTTTTCGGGTAAGGCTAATATACTCTCTTTCGTATTCTGGCGACTTTTCCCTGTGGTGTTAAGTGTTGTCTTCTTCCTCTTATTCTTTTTTTTCATCGGAAGCCACGACTTGATTACTAATAGTAGTTGTCTTATTCACCCCAGAATTGCTTTCTGGGGATTCCTTACGCTGGATGGCTCTCGCTCTACTCCGAGTTAGCCTCTGCGTAGATAACACCGGGCGGTCCTCTGAAGGAACAGTCTTGTGTATTAGTTCCTTCAGATTTTTTACTTCTTCCTCTAGTTGATGCATCTTGTAGGCTATCGTTTGACAACCATTACATAAATATCCTACCAGATCCTGCGGTGACGAATTAACAAAGCTTTTAACTGAGCTGCCCAGCCGTGCGTCGGTGGTGTAGGGGTTAGCGGAGCGAGCCCTAAGTTCTGAGGTCCCCGGTTTAAATCCCAAGTGCGCGTTACTTTGGAACACTAGTGCAGACTCCAACATTCTGGATAACGTTTCTATATACACAAAGAGCGTAGACTTAAGTATGAAGGAAAGGCCTTTATGACGATCTTTCGGTAGACAGTACCTTCATTAGCTGAATGGGAAGGTATGGTCGAGAAGCTTCCGAGAGCAAAAATTTAGACAAATGCTTTGAGGCGATGATGAAACAATGTCTAATAGTAGAAAAGCGACTCAGCCTTTGTAGAAACTTTGGATATATTTTTCTTCAGATAATCCGACTTTCTGGGCTTGCAAGTATGAGAAACGAGGAAGGCCGAAATCGGAGTTCTGGGAATGTGCTGCAGGAGACTAGTTGGGAGGAAGATATTGATGAGTCGAATTCAAGTCTAACTTCCGGCAAGCTCTAAGAGCGTACAGTAAGTCCAAATCTCGAAGTAACTAAATTCCTCGGAGAGCGAACATTTGAAACCAAATTCGATGACCTATTGTCAGTGCACAACGTGGCTTCAGACAAAACTTGTCCCGCCTTTCCAGTTTTCTGCTCTCGACTGGACGGTAGACTCGTGTATAGAAGGAGGATGGTAGGGTTGATGCCAAGAAGACTTTCGGCGATGGTCCACACAAAGGTCTAGTTCACTAACTGTCTGAAACCGGGAGAAGAGGTGAAATGCTGACGTGGGTCAAACAGTTACTTACGGGCAAATCGTAAACTGCATGCACTGATGCTCCGAAGTCAACCCCAACTGCCGTTTTAAGTTATGTCCACCCAGGGCTCTTATTGGGTTCGTACTCTTCTCAGTCTGTATCAGTGACTATACCGACAATCAGACTGTGGAAAGCCATCAGGTCTGACGCAGTTAGTCGCGCACTTAAAGATTGTCTTAACCGATTTAGCGGCTGGCCTGTTCGATGGCGCCAAAATTTTAGAGTTGGTAGGTGTGTGGCCCTAAGACTCCGTACCAGATGGAAGGCCCCTTCAGATGTTTACAAACAGAAGAACCATTGTGTTCTGATAATCCCCTCATTTAAACCATTGGTGCAATTTTTGAATGCAGCTAAACGAGCGATAAAGGCTTTGTTCACGCCGAAGCGAGCGATTGTCAAAATTGATTGGGAACAGTTCGGCAAGACCTACTAGGTTGTCGGTCGGTCTTACTTAGAGTATGTTACGTGTTTCTGGCATCCGTAGCTCAGTAGGTAGTATCAACTGCTGAAAAGAGTGCAGGTGAGGGCCATGAAGATGCTAAAGAATCATGGCAATCAGTTATTCAACATTAAACTGACTGAACTTCATTTTTTCCGCTCAATTACAGGCAGCTATGGGATGACCTCATTCATACCTTGCGGCTTGTTGGGGCCGCGAGTATGTTCTATAACTTCTTTGAAGTTGCTTGCACGTACCATCTGCGTGATAACGCGTTTTAACTGTAGAGGAAATGGTTCTCTTACGACTGCCTAATGAGGTTGTTGGAAACTGGAACTGACCCCTTGCTGTGGTGGTACTTTCAGGCACTGTTGAGACGTTTAGATGCGGACTTGACACCCATGTCCTGAGAAGCTACTTTAGATGATTTAATAGACGGGCTAATTCACGAGCTGCTAACCGAGAGTCTGATGCACGTTTTCTACTCGTAAAAAATTACATAAGTAGGGCTGCGATATTAGCCATCATGAAGCATAATCCCATGATAACTCATCTACCTCAGGATGTCGGCTATCGAACGAACTTCTTTTTGGCCGCCATTAAAAACTAAAATCCGTAAAAAGGACTGTTTAAGTAGTATTGATTTTTCCTATTGATTTTTGATAAGCTTATGGATTCGGATGTATTTCATAAAAAATATGCACAAAAGCTACTTGCTCTTCGACTCATTTGGTAGAAACTTACGTCTTCTTCAAATTTTTTTATTTTAAAGAAGCGTATAATTCGGTTTTTAAAAAGTTTCTAAGTATAAGTTTTTTTAAACCGTTAAACTCTCGGCCATAAATCATCACGCTACTGCAATCACTAATGTTAATTGTAAAGTTTGCAATATGGCCCAAACCCACTGCTGAATTTTATAAACCCCATATAGTTTCCTCCTAGACCGTGTAGAAATATATAATTTTCCCTAGACGGAAAACATGCAGCCTGTAGTTTGTAAGCCCTAAATGCGAGGGTAACGGCAGGTCCGGCTCAAAATCATTTGGTAATCGGAAAAGCTTTTAAAAACTGAATTATACGCTTACTTAAAGTTTACAGTTGGAAGACGATGTAGTTTCCTGCCAAAGGAGTAAAAGGGTAAATATTTTTATGCACGATTTCTAGAAAATATGTTTAAAATTAAAACTGCACCTAAAATAGATGATGAGAGTCTAGACCATTTAAGTAGTCATTTTTTGTAGAATGTAGTCTATGCGTGCGGCTAAAAGGAAGTTCAGTCAAATACCGGCATCCAGTAGCAGCTGAATGATTATGGGATTACGCTGTGAGTGATTCGTATTACAACACTACTAAGCAATCTTTACGAGTCGAAAACGCATTTCAGAATTTCGATTAACATTTTATGAATTAACATACCCACTGTATACTTGCGTCAGTAATGGCATTATGTGCCCGGCTAACAGGTGTTGGAGAGTTTGCATTTTTTAGAATAACTGCAGTAAAAAGTAACGTTATTGCCCCTTGAGAAAGCTCAAAAGCCAGTGACCTATTCAGAAAACGAAGTAGCTTAAAGTGACTGCCTTTTCTCATTCTACTCCCTTCTCCTTGTATTGATAATCTATCTGCGGTTGTTACATATTCTGATTCTACTAAATCCTCTGGTAAAGAGCCACATAGGCGACTTTCACTAAACCCGAGATTTAAGCAATTGTCATCCCTCTGATTGAATTGCAGTGAGCGACCGATCTCATGAAACTTTGGCTGAAATTCCGTGATGCGTATTTGATTAAGAAGGATTACTTAGGTGAGGCTGTACTACTAATTACCTTGCGGCATACTCCTATAATATTTATGATTCGGCAGGATGAGAGCTTTGGAATACGCTGCTTTTCAAACGACAGTGGAAACCGTACTTGGTGAAAAAGGCTACTTAAATAGCATGCATTTTTCCCATTCATTTTAGATGGCCTTACAAATTTAAATATATTTTTTAGAAACCACAAAATTATGCCTTCTTTTATTCGTGTGATAGAGAACCACGTCATCTTTATATTTTCTACGCGAAGAAGGAGTAGAATTTGGTTTTAAAGAAATTTTATGATTGTGTGATTTTTAAGACAGCGCCCTGTCCATTCTTATAACATCACACCTGTCCGTCTGCCACTGCTTCTCATGAAATATACAACAGAGCCCGCATTCATTGAAAAAAGTTATGTTCTCTATATGATATCTTTTTAAAGGCCTAGGAGAATACATGATTATCTTTACGCGGAGCGCACGCATCTTTTAGACTGAAATCAATAAGCAATAATGCAAGGACTCATCAGGTTCCACATTATTTGGCAATCAGAAAACTTTCTCAAAACCGAATTGTACTCCTTCTTCAAGTAGGAAATAGAAAGAGGACGTGATTCGCTATCACACGAATAAAAGAAGGCATATTTTCGTGGTTTCTAAAAAATATATTTGAATTTGCAAGATCATCTAAAATCAATGGGTAAAATTCATGCTACTTAAGTAGTCTTCTTCGACAAGTACGATATCCACGGCAGTTTGAAAAGCAGTGTATTCCAAAGCTGTCATCCCGGCCGAATCAGAAATATTATAGGAGTATGGCGCAAGATAATTAGTATTACAGCCTTGCCTAAATTATCCTTCCTAATCGAAAACGCATTACGTAATTTCAGCCAATATTTCATGAGATCGGTCACTCACTGTAACTGGGTCATACTTATTGGAATGGAAATACCAATTCTCAAAAGGGATTATAATTTACAAATTATGCCGTGTTGGGTCAATTCTGATTTGTTTTGCCTTAATTTATTCCATCCACAGACAAGCCCGCTCAGTTTTTTTACATATTCTGATGATTTCAAAATCCGCCTGCCCCTTCAGCCTGGAGTCCAACGTAGTTAGTGTAATCGGCTCACTCAAAATGCCTTCACACGTGTATTGGACCTTAAAGGCTGACTTATTTAAGGATTTTTTACGTGACTTTTTACGTAATTGGATGTTCCACCACTAAGCACTTTGGTTTAAACTACGATA